AATTCACGATATGTAAGACCAATTATATTGTGTTGACAGTAGATGCGCCGAAACCTCTCTGAAGGAGAAATTATATTATATTTGTTGTAATTATAAATATTATTATATAATCATCGTTTCAGACAAACCTTATTAATGATCTATCGTATTATATTCATTACGATTAATAAACTAATATCATTGTAAGAAAAGATATAACTATAGATGTGCGTAGGTACAACGCACATACATTCTAGCGCGATTTAATAGTGTGAAGTAACATAACAGAAACATACCATTTCTGTGCCAATGTATCCTCCTAATCCAGTGAAAATGTCTAAATACTGATGATACCGGCTTGGAATGTAATCAAGTCCATCATACACATTTTCACGTAAGGAAACAACAACATTGTAGTCGTCAGCCGTCGTATTTCGGAAGTGTAAACCCTCCATTTGGCCTTTCCATATGATATTTAAATCAACGTTTTATCAGGATATTATTGTTCCGACACATGTATGGATCATGAAATGTCGTTAGCCAATAAAAATTGTGAAAGCTACATTTTACATAATATAATTCAAGATGTGCTACACCATAGTTTGTCGTATACAGGCATGTGTATTGTATTCACTTGTAATGTATGCAAATTAAAATCAAAGCATGAAACTCCACGTTTTCTTGTAACATGTTGTTACCACATTATTATTCTGTCGTAAAGTGTTCTGATTGTATACATTTTAAATTTATTTTAAAGATAATGTAATAACTATGTTTTTGAATACCTGTATTAGTCATCATCACAGATAACAACCCGAATAGCTCAATTAATGTAAATTGAGGGGGCTATGCATTCCTTCGTTTGCTTAATACGAAGCAAGTCCTGGAAATAAATTCCTCATTCAAAGAATTAATACTGCAAGGTTTAAGTTTACATTTGAAAAGAAATCCTTCAAATATGTAAAATTCCTTGAAAAATTATTTCCTTTCCACTGTTTACATTTCAGATATTTTATTGTCCTCCATACCACTCGTTCATCCACTTTGACCTTGTTGCATGGTATGTGTGTATACACGGTTCCTCAAACTTCAGCTCATTAATGTTATTTCTATATATCTTTTAGTACAAAATAAGATAAAATTCCTGAATTTTTTCATTTGTAATGATGATCGAAATGTTACCGGAGCGGGTTTCATTGAAGTTAAAAATATGTCGAAATTGAAAAAAACACACTATACAAATCTCAATCGAAGAATATTTTATGTCAAACTTGTAATTTCTTCGTGGACGTAGGAATTCAACGAAATTGTATCACCAAGAAAATTAGAGAGTACACAGTATGACAGTATTCTAAATATTTTAAAAGATTTCCAATGCATTGTGTACTTTATGTATGTATTTTCCAGATGTCACTCTTAAATAATCATTACACTAATAATATCATGTAAAATCATATTGCAATGTATTCATGAACGCTAATTTAAATTTGTCATTTATATTAATTACTATATAAGGACCAGCATAATAGAAAGCTGCTGTTGACAAATATATTCATAGTTTGAAATTTCATATCGCTAGCAAATATTCTCTCATCAAAAATAAATAAATGGTGTGGTATATTATGCATCTTAACAGTTGATAACACCAGATGGATTCACTCAAATAAATATTTTAACGTCATCTATTTTAACAAGGGTAGTGTTAACAAAACCATTATTTCGAACGCGAAATCGATAAAACGATTCCAAAATATGGATAAAAATAAATTGACTTGGATACCCTCGCAAAAGTAAAAGTAAAATAAGGCTAGTTGTTCCAAAGGCTAAGCATCCACTGCTTCATATACGACGCCCGCCATGTACATTGTAAATCTTAGTCAAATTAAATTGATTTCACGTCCTTTAACCAAGAACTCTGGTAGTGACAAGAAACCCCAAGGCACATTAATGAACATAATCAAAAGATCGACTTTCATATAACATAGCATCATAGAAAATGTCCCTGTGAAATATTAATGAGACTATAAACCTTGTCCACAGTCTTCATCAGGCTGCATTCTTGAAAACCCTATGTTGAAAGCTTGTCTGTCAGCAGTCGACAATTATCATGGAAATCAAGAAATTAAGAGCAAACTCTTTAAAACCGAAACAACTGCGACATGTTTACACCATCGATATGGGAAGCAGGGTTGTTACTATAAAGAAATCGAAATCGATCGGCATATATGATAGAAGCAACATTATAGGGAGGTCCATATCCTCATAATAAGTGTGTATTTGGAAAGACTGTAATACAAAAGCGGAAATGGCTAGTATTTTGTCTTTCGACAATTTGAAAATACATAGAAAGATTGATTATTGAGCAAGCCTAGTTTCTTTTGCGAACAGGTTATTTAATTTTGTTTATAAACAAAGATTGTTATTAGAAGCTCTGTCTGCATTTCTGTTTATGAAGTACGGTAGTATGTTAGCTTCGACTTACTTTTGATGAAGGATATTACTGATGTAAGTGGCATCTATCTACCTGTTGGCGAATTTGAAGTTAACAAAATCCCACGTGGATAAGGTATTTTATCCTACATCATCAATATAATTTCATTGATATTTAATTGCATATAGCTAATCTTAACTGAAAAGGAATTACAGTTTCAACTTGTTTCCGTCGCAAAAACAATCTGAAGCACTAGCTTAGAATGGAATCCTCATAGTACAGCCACCAAAGATGAAATAAATGACTATTTGAAAGGAAATTATTGAAGGTTAAAAGCACATAACTATTCTTATAATCTCTCTGTATTAAATCCTTTGGCTATTACTATATTTCGTAAAATTTATTTTGGTTTACTGAATAACTTCCTGACAAAATAAAACAAATGCATACAGTTAATAGGTAAGACA